CCCCCCCGCGCGCCGCCCCCCCCTGCCACTCTCCCTCCCCACCTTCACTCTCTTTCACTGGGCTGAGAGCAGAGGGTTGGGGGGTTGGGGGGGGTGGGCATCAGCTGAGAGTATGGGCTCAGGACTGGGGCGGGGGTTAGGGTGTGGGACTCAGGGCCAACTTAACCCCAGACTCTGCACCCCATGGGCAAGCTACCCCGCTGTACTTCTATATTGATCCGACCCCACGGATGCCCTAGCGAAGAGAGACAAGCCCAACTTCCACCGACCCCACCCCACCCCAACCCAATCGCTGTGTCCTTCCAGATCCTCCTCCTTGTCCCTAGTCCCTGGCCCGCCATGCCTGGGTGCACCCATCCATTGGTCCTCCTCCGCCGGGCGTCTCAGAACGACCCCGTCTCCTGCTTCCCTATGGCAGCTCGTTCTCCCCAAGGGGGCCAAAGCCCACGGCCCCTGCCCGTTTCGCTCCCGCCCTATGATGCAGGGCGACTTTGCTGCCACTGGGCGGAGTAAACACTGAGTAAAACCTTTACAATTTGCCCCTGTGCTCGTAGGTTTCAGGGGCGCAGCCTCCAGGCTCTAGATTCCCCTGAAAAATCAATTGGGGGCCTCATACAAGTGAGGAGAAAGACGCGCCCCACATTCCCCTCACATACCAGAGCCTGGGGTCCCCGGCCCCGGGGGGGGGGGGGGGCAGGAGGGCTGGAGCACCAGCGTGGGTTCCCCAATGCTGAGGGGGGAGCCTTGAGTCTCGGGGACCGGATCCAGGCAAGCCAGGGGCCACACCCGGCCTCCGGGCCTTAGGTTCCCCTGTCTTCTCTCTGGCTAATTTCTGCCAGGCAGGAGCCAACAACCCCTTCCCTTTGATCCCAGAAGGCTGGCCACGCATGATACTATGACAGGTCTCCCCCGCTGCCTCGCTCGCAGGGAAGGAGCGTTCCCACGACACGATGACAAACACCATGAGCAAGCAGGTTTCCCTCTCTGCCTCGCAGGGATGGTCCTGCCGTGCGTGTCTTGCGTTGCTCTCGTGGTTCCGGGCCGCCCCGGCACTCCATGAGCTGCTCCCGATGAGGCAATCCATCGGGCTTTCCCCTTCAGCGCTTCTTCATTTCATTCTATTGTCAGAGAAAACTCATTCCAATGCCCCGCCTTCCCAGGGATGAGTGTTGTCTTCCCTGTCGCCAGAAGCATCAGTCAGACACCCAGCGGTGCACTGAAGTTTCTGTCTCGTTCTACCGTCTGGGCAGTAGATTGTGGGCTGTCTGCGATCAGCTGAGCGGCTTCCTGCTAATTCTCCCTCCAGATCCACGCCTGGGAGCTGCATACACAGTAAGCGCTAGCCTCTCGCTTGCAGCATCTTTTTCCTTTTCGCAGGTCCCGGGGTCTCTGTAGCTTTAGGCTGGGCTGTTATGAATGCAGAGGTTTGGCTGCGCTCTTGAAGGGCAGGTGTTTTCGCAGCAGCTAGACAGACCTGCTGAGCCGCTGGAAGAAATGGAAATATCTAGACGGAAGGTTGGCTTCTACATGTCAGCTTGGGCCGGGACTGAATCCAGGTGGGCAAGGACAGATACGCGAGAGATGAGCCTGGAGCAAAGGCTGGGAGGGATCAGCTAGAAAAGATTTGGCGTCGGAGAGGATGAAAGTTTGGGGGGAGATACAAGCGAGGCAGAATTACTCTAGATTAAGGGTGAGACCCAAGCTGTGGGATTTGAAATAATCACTCAAAAACCCAAAAATCCAACTTTTGAAAAACCAACCCACAGGTGGGAGTTGGGATCATAAACTTAAAATGTGGCAGCATTGGGAGCTAAAACAGATGCAGCTGGAGAAATTAGCAAGAGAGAAGACAGAAGCTGCCCAGAGGTCCCCTTCCCATGTCCCTGTTGCAGACAGACTGGCTGAGAGTAAAACCCAAGAGCAGAGAGAGAGGTCGCCTCGGATCTTGCCGGTTGCAGAGGAAGCACGTGGTCGCATCATTAGCATTATGCCCAGAGTAGCGTAGCTGTGCAGGGCATCTTTGTGTAGGTACCATGTGTCGAAGGAAGGGCCCATGCTAAGCCGGTGCTCTGGGGAGAGGGGGAGGAAGGGGACCAGGCCTAGCCCTCCGCAGCTGGGCAGGGCTGCCTGGCGCAGAGCTCTGGGGGATGCCAAGGGTGAACGGAGATGAGGCAGGCGGGTGCTGAAGGCAACATGAACCCCAACAAAGGTGACTAGCTGGACCAGGGCAGGCTGTGGAGATGAGTCCAGGCTGCGACGCTCAGCCATGCAGAGTTTGGTCCAGGGGCCTGCCTGGAACCGGGCAGCTTTGCTCCCGTCCCAGTTTCACTTTCCATTCTGGGAGCAAGTGCACACAAGCATCCTGCCCGCTGGCCAGTGAACTGGGCCGGTTGCTGGGCTGAGGTTACCCTCCCCCGGCGCCTCGAGAGCTACACTCCTGAGGAGGGAAAAGACCAGCTGGCTGAAAAGAGGAGAAAGAGGCTGCAGGCTTGATTTCGCAAGCAGGGTTTCCCCACCGCCAGCAGTACCGTCTATACCGTAAATGCCCTTGGCGGGCGGGAAGGGGCAGGTGTCCACATCAGGTGCTCGGAACTTTGTGCAATGTCCCAGAAACAAAATGTGGTTTCCTATGAAAAGGGGAACCAAGAGAATTATAAACAGCCGGCCTAGAAGTACAAGTCAGGCATAAGCATCGCGCAGACCCAGACCCAGAGGGCGAGGTACCTGTTGGCGGCTGTAGCATCGGGCTCACAGACTTGTGGTAACTATACCCTTCTAGTTAGCTAATTATGTAATAAATCTGATTGAGCTGACCCGACCCATGCGGAGGTCTCTTTAATCACAGAATAAATTCAAATCTTACTAACCCTATTGTTGGTAATGAACAGGGGGCCTGTATGGGCACCTTGGTAGGCAGCAGAGTTTGGTCTGACAAATCAGGGTTGCCAGCCTAGCAGCACAGAGACAACAGAATGTCTGGTATAATCTGATCTGATTATAAAATCATGCCTGGTGTGGAAAAAGTGAATAAGGAAAAGTAATTTACTTATTCCCACAATATAAAAACTAGGGGTCACCAAATGAAATGAACAGGCAGCAGGTTTAAAACGAACAAAAGGAAGTTTTTCTTCACTGAGCGCACAGTCGACCTGTGGAACTCCTTGCCAGAGGATGTGGTGAAGGCTAGGACTTTAACAGGGTTCAAAAAAGATGGAGGTTAGGTCCATCAATGGCTATTAGCTAGGATGGATAGGGATGGTGTCCCTGATCTCTGTTTCTCTGGAAATGGGTGACAGGGGAGGGATCACGTGAGGATTACCTGTTGTGATCCCTCCCTCTGGAGCACCTGGCTTTGGCCACCATTGGCAGACAGGATACTGGGGTGGATGGACCTTTGGTCTGACCCAATATGGCCCTTCTTGTGTTCTTAAAGTCTGTTTTTTGTGTGTGTGTGTGTGTGTGTGTGTGTGTGTGTGTGTGTGTGTGTTCATGGCTTGCTGAGAAGACACCTAAGATTAAGCAGTTAAGAGAGGGAGCAAAAAACGAGGAACAAAAAATGCCACTTGAGAACAGGAGTTGCTGAATTGAGACTCAGGCTCAGCACAGCTGCGAGGACGGTTCACAGAATGTCAGTGAGCGGAAGAAAAGGAAGGTCGGGTCTTTGCACCAGCTTTTGCAAGAGCAACTAACGGTGGCAAAGCAGGGTGCCCGAGCAGGGGAAGTGTGTTAAGTGCTGGAAGGAACCTGAGGATTTGAGAGGAGAGGTTTGTGATGGAAGGGGATAACCTGCAGTGTTAAGCGAGAGAGCTGAACAGTGTAGAAAGCAGAGAAAATTCAATGATCAAGGGAGGGAAAAGACACAGGAATTAACCATAGACTCTCAGGAGCTCCTTAGAAGAAAGAAAATGCAGTTATGCAACTCCAAGAAACACCAGTGATCTACAAGGTAACTCTGGGTAGCTGTCATGAAGGAGAAATTGAGAAAGAACCACCTACCTGGTACTGTCTCCATCTTGTTTTTTTTTAAAACCAGTTTGGTCATTTCTACCAGCTTGAAATAAAGATCAAATCAGCCTGATGATGGATCCCGACAAACACCCCTAAAAGGAAACCCTAAACCAACCAAAATGACTAGCTTAAAAAGAAAAGCTCTATGATGTTAGCACATTTTTAGACCGACCCGAAAGATATATTTGGCTATTGGCTGCAAAGCAGGTAGAAATTCCTGGTAGGCAACTATATGGCTTGGAAAATTGATTTTGCCATCAAATGGTTTTGGAAACTGGTATATTGGCGTGATTCATGCCCCTCGCCCCACACCCTGAGGCCATGGGTGTGCGTGTTCATGGAATCACAAGCCTGAAATAAGGGCGTGGGGGGAACAAAAGGCTCCATTAATTAATTCAGATTTTAATCAAAAGGAGGCAATAAAGTTGCACAATTGTGAAAGATTTAAAGGACCGAAATGAAGCCTCCCTGATCATATAGCTCTATTTAAAAAGGAAGGTGCATGTGCATTTTGTGTGCCAAGTAAATTGGCTTTCAAAGAATTCTGCTACAAATCAACTTTCTTTAATAATTAAGGAGCTAACATTTTTTATTTTGAAGATGCAATGGTATAGATGAGACAAGTTAGCCTCGTTAAAGTATTATTCAAGCAATTCCCAGGGTAGTACTTTAATTTAAGGTGAAAGGCCTCAGTTGTTGAGATATCTTTAAGTTGCGATTCTTGTGTGAATTTTGGTTCCAAGAAAGAAAGCTGACAAGGGACTCTGGAAAGCAAAAGGCAGCAGCATCACTTGGACTTTGGGGACAGCAGCCAACATGTTGTAGGAAGATAAAGAGGACTGGCCTTTCTTGGGAGGCACCGTTAAATGGTTTTGTCTGTGGGAAAAAAAATCTAGACAAACAGGGTTCGCTCTAATGGGCATTAAGACTTGTTATAAAGCAAAAGGCAGCAGCATCACTTGGACTTTGGGGACAGCAGCCAACATGTTGTAGGAAGATAAAGAGGACTGGCCTTTCTTGGGAGGCACCGTTAAATGGTTTTGTCTGTGGGAAAAAAAAATCTAGACAAACAGAATTGGTTTTAACCCAGGGTTCACTCTAATGGGCATTAAGACTTGTTATACACAGACGCCATTCCTAAAACATGACAAATATAAACCAAAGCCATTCATTTCTGAAGTCCTCAAACTTTTGTTTTATATTTAAGCAATGGATCTTGGAAACCAAAGTAACTAATAAAAAACAATGACTAGTCCTATGGCACCTGAGACTAACAATAGGATCAGGAGCTTTTGTGGATAAAACCTACTCGCTCACATGTCAATGACAGCCTGCCTTTGAAACAGATGCCCTTTTACACAAAGCAAGGCCTGATGTGTCAAAATGAAGTTAGTAAATTCAATTAGGTGGAAACAAACTCTACTCGCCACCCTTCAAACCTGCAAAATAAGTGCAGGGAGGGCAGGGAAGGAGAAAAAGTAAATGGAAGTGAATTGAAGTGTTCGGAATATGTCTAGAATACTTTGTTGCTTGCATATTACTCATATGGGTTACTCACTACAGGCTGTTGGTTTAATAAGTGAACAGATACAGGAGTTGTTATTTTTATCTGCTGTGAAGACAACTCTCCTTTCTCCCCACCTCTCTTCTGAAACTTTTGTAAGTAATCCTCTTCCCTTTTCTGATCTGCTGCCAGCGTTCCTAGGAACGGGGACTTTGCACACTGCTTTGTGCAAACCTGTTATCACAACCATCGACTGTGCTGGGGTCCGACTGTACAGTCCACTAGTGCAGCAGGGTTAAGTTAGCTCACTGTTCTGTGTGCAGCCAGTGGACAGTCTCTCGGCAGGGAACCTGGAGCAATAACCGATTGCCATGTGCTTGCAGCAGTTAAAAAGCCTGCCCATTATCATGTGTCAGGTCTTTATGAAACTCACCCTTTTCGGGATATTGTGCAAGTTAGGGTTGCAGCAAGAGCCTCAGCCTGACTGCAAAAGAACGCCTGGCATGGTTACTGTTCCAGGACCTAAGCATCCATACACCAATCAGACCTGGCTGAATGCAGAAATCCCTTTCTACACCTGAGTGTCCTTGGATCCTGTGTCTCTTGAGACACAGAGGCCTGCCCCTCCTTTATTGTGGGCATACCCCAGACCTGAAACAATGTTGCAAAGTGTTAAAGCTAAGTGGAGGCAAGAAAAAGGGAAGAAGGGAATTTGTGTGCAGTCATCTTAGTCTTGTTAGCAAGAGAGCAAGGCCAATTCTGATTCTTGCCAACGCGAGAGCTGTAACAAGACGATAAGACGCTGCCTTCACCTCTCGCCTCCATACGGAGATAAGGATAGAACGCTGACTCTGGCAGGGACCTTGGGATAAGGAGCATCTGGGTGGACTTAAAATAACTTAGCCACTGGCATTTTGCTTTAGCCACTGGCGTTTGTCATGGGAAGGAGACTAATTTTTATTATTATTTTATTTAATGGACAGTATATAAACTGCTTCATAGCTGCTTGTATTTGAAGATCTGCCTCGGGGGGGCTCCCCCCTCCATCCGAACCAGTTTTTCCCTTGCTGCAGTGCGTAATAAAACTGCCTCTGGCTACTTGTTGCTTACAAATGCAGAGTGAGGACAATGTTTTCTTCCAAGGCTGAAAAAACCCCCCAAACATTCAAAAGGTTTCTGCCTGTATCTCCCTAGGATACGCTGTCATTACACGTGTATTATCCGCAGCGGGTTTCTATAAACTCAAGGGGGCTCTATTTTATATTATTTCCCTCTCTGCTGTGCTTAAAATGTGCTGGCCATTAGAAAGCCTGTTGTGTTTCAACACTGGCAAAAGTTTGCCTGGCATTGTGATGGGATTCCCAGGGTGTAGCCTGGGACTACGGGACCGCTGTGCCCCCCGCCCCTAATTCTCCAGTCCAGACTGTTTCCCACAATGTTTGGCTAGTGACAAGCAGCAAACCCCTCCAGGCGTTGCGATCACTCAGCACAACCTCACAGGGAGCCCCACGCCCAGCGAAAGTGGAGGCCTGCTCCCGACGCCTCTCCTGAATCACAGGGAGAAAAGGCACCAGCCAAATCCTCCCAGCCTTGCACTTCAATAAGGCACCTGCTTTAATTGCTGCCCCCTCTCGTCAACGGAAAGTGGGCATGTACCGGCCTTTGTAGCCTGAGCCGATGTACCAACCACGTCAGTCAAACTCACGGGGGAAAGAAACGGCTGAACCAAAGACAGCTATGCAGTGATTGTAACGCATGGACAAAAAGTCACAGTGGTCACCAGAATAAAACATAAGCACTCACCCTAACCACTCAGCCTTTAGCCTGAGCAAACCGTTTGCCTCCCCCACTGGCTACTGCAGTTCATAGTACCCAGGATTCACCCTTGAAACCGGGGCCAGTCACCGCTGTTCAGGTTTTCCGAGCGTCCTTGTTGCTTGCAGCATAGGTGGGGGCAAGAGGAAGGGCCAGGCATGGGCCCGTGTGTTGTTTTATTGCCTTAGTCCAGTGCTTGGGGAGCACACGTCCAGGCCTGTCTGGTGGGACTGGGCATGGCTTCACTTTGGGACTCAGCAACACCCTACTGGGAGTGAGTCACTGACTGCAACGCCTGTGCTGGACAACCGCTGGCAATGCCTGTTCGGCACCCCCCCGCAGGTCTTGGGTACCTCCCTGGTCACCGTCTCTGGAGAGCTCGTGTCAGGGCGCATCCCAAACCCACAGCACCTTTAAGTGACAACCTGACAACACATTCTCAGAACTTCACGTGCACTAGCGTGATCCAGCGCCAGGGAGAACAGCAACTTACAGCAGCTCATAACCTGTCCCGACACACACGTGCACTAGCGTGATCCAGCGCCAGCGAGTACAGCGACTTTCAGCGGCTCATAACCTGTCCCGACACCACATATGCCCTGCTTTGGATGCACTGACACGGTTCTATATAAATGAGGAACACGGGGTACACAATGTCACAGGTACAGCATACACCTTCACTCTAAAAAGCTTGGGGAAAACTCTGTAACTAATTTTCTCATTAAAACAGGGGTTAGAGGAAAAAGCAATACATTTTCTCATTTATAATATGAGTACCCTTGTCTTTACTGTCAAATTCTCTCCCTCCCCTCATGGTTTAGCAATTAATCCTATACACACGGGGCCATATAACTATGGCAACCCCTTTACTGTCAAATTCTCTCCCTCCCCTCACGGTTTAGCAATTAATCCTATACACATGGGGCCATATAACCATGGCAACCCTACTAGCAGACAGTGCCCACAGCTAGGTTTTTGTTTCTACAGGTGGTGCACATTACGTGGTGCACATAGAAAAATTTATTCCGAACATGGATGGTACAAGATTAGCAAGAACATTGAGTGGGGAGGAAGTGGGAGTTCCCAACCTTTAGGATTAGTGTGAACCTGTAGCCAGTCCGGAACGAGGTATTTTTGCGCCCCCTCGCCTGAGGTTAGCATGTTCACTTTTTACTTTTGCAGCTTATTATTTTTACTTATTGAGTCTTTGCACCTTGGATTATGATATGCCTGGGGCAAGCACGCAGCTTGCCCCGCCCTTGTTACAACCCTGTCTGCAGCCAAGGTAAACCTGGGGCAAGCACGCAGCTTGCCCCGCCCTTCTTACAACCCTGTCTGCACACAAGATAAGCACTGACATACAGAAAGGACGCCCCATACCCGTGGTAGCTTTTGAGACTATTGCCTGGGGGCTAAAACAGGTGACTAGAATCCAGGACTCCTGGGTTTTTCTCCCAGTTCTGTCACTGATCCACTGGGTGACAGCACCGTGCCTCAGTTTCCTTCTGTACAAATGAGGGATAACGTCACGGTCTGCTTTTCTGGAGAGCTGTAATAGGTGGAGTGTAATTTAGACTCTGTGTCCCTTCTTGCCTGCAGGATGGGAGCCATGAGTCCGGCGCTGGCCCTTCTGGCCCTGGCCCACCTGCTGGGCTCGGCTGCCACCCTGAAAATCGGCGCTTTCAACATCAGGGCCTTTGGAGACAAAAAGCTGTCCGACGAGACCACAGCGGGCATCATTGTGAAAGTGAGTATGCCAGGCTGCCCGAGATCCCGGCTTGTCGGGGGTCAAGACTGGGACGGAGCAGCGCTGGCTCTAGGCCTAGCTCAGGAAACTCTCCGGTAGCCAGGGGGCCGCAGGGAGGACACGTTATTTCGGTTAGTATCTGGAGCGGGCAGCCCCGGCCCTGCCCCGCTTGTTGCCATTGACACCAGCTATTATCGCTGCTAGGGAACAAGGGGCGCCCCCTGCCAGGCCAGGCCAAGGGGCCCCCCCAGCTACTCTGGACAGGCTCTGCTGGTGGACAATGTGGGGGGGAGGCAGAGCGGCCGCTGAGGCCAGGGTGTCCTGCTGGAGGCAGCCAGGGAGCGGATGTCCCAGGGCCTTGCTTGGTTCCCAGGGCAGTGGGCAGAAAACGGCTGGGAAAGGCCGGGCCGTACCCATCCCTGGGGTCACCCCGCCAGCCGCAGAGCCAGGCCCCACACTGACAGCCCCTCCAGCCTCCCTCGGGAGGGGCCAGTGGCAGGAAGAGGAGGGGCTGGGGGAGCAGGGGTCCACAGCCATGGACACTGGCACCTCCTGGAGCCCAGCGCACCCCTCCCCCATTTCCCCTCAGCCCAGACAGCTCCGCAGCTGTGGGGTCTGGCCCCGGCCATTCCTCTGGTGCTGAGCCCAGCCCCGGCCACAGCCCCTCTGCGTCCCCTCAGGTCCCACCCGCCAGGCGACCCCGGCTCTGACCCCCGGCAAGCCAATAGCACCGAGCCAGGAGGTGCCCGGGCTGCCGGCCCGCTGGGCGCTCTGCAGTGGAACAGGCAAGGGAGCAGCGCAGAGCCAGAAGAGAGGCAGGGGGAGCCAGAGAGCTGGGCCCAACCCCACCCAAACCTGGGCCTCAGCTGGGCAGAAGCAGCCTCCTTACTGCTGTGCTCTGCGCACCCATCCAGGCAGGGACGGGCCCCAGGGCAGGCCCCGGTTTGCTGCTCTGTGCAGCTCCTTGTCTGAGCTCCAAGGGGGCACGGCCAGGGCTCTGGGCTTTGCGACAGGCGGCCTGGCTCCTCGCTGCTCCGAGAGGCCTGGCAAACCCCTTCCCCTCCCCGGGGCTCCCCCGCCACGGCGGTGACATCCATGCCCCAGCGGCAGGGCCCAGGCGCCGGCTACTGCCTCAGCTCCGTAGCCTGCCAGGGAGCTGCACGATGTACCAGGCCGGCGTCCTCGGCCGCAGAGCCCAGCGCTCTGTTCCCCGGCCACAGCCGGCCCTCCCTAGGCCCTGCCGCCCGTGCCCTGACAGACGCCCACGTGCTCCCGCAGATCCTGTCGCGGTACGACATCATCCTGGTGCAGGAGGTGCGGGACACCGATCTCAGCGCCGTGGACAACCTCCTGGAGCAGCTCAACAGGTAACAGCCGGCGGGCGGGGGGGAGGGGTCCCCCGTCTCAGCCCCCATTAGTGATTAACAAGGCCGCACAAGCAGAGACCGAGTAGCCACCTGGCTCTGCAGCTGGGAGGCCGGATCAGGGCCGCCTATCCCTGCCGAGGGTGGGTCAAGTCAGGCTGGGACTCGGGTCCAATAGTGAGACCCTCCTTCAGCCCCCGCAGTCATTGGGGGGGCACAGAAGGCCCAGCTGACAGGGCAGGCTGAGACCAGCAGGTGAAAGGGGCAAACGCGGGCAAAAGAGCTTTGTGGCTGGCTAGTTAGCTGGCGTCCGAAGGGAGATCTGCGTGCCTAGGGCCAGGCCGCTCCTCAGCCCCACACGAGGAGCACGGGGCAGAGCATGGCTGGCAGGGGACTGGCAGGGTTTGTCTGAGGCCTGCACCCACAGCCTTGGCTCTCCTGGCATGGCCAGGGGCACCCCATTGACGCCGGGAGTGCGTGAGGCTTGGAGCCGAGGCCAGCCTGGGAGGTCAGCGCTGTTCTCCTTTGCGTCCCCCCAGCGCGTCGAAGTACGAGTACAGCTACAAGAACAGCGAGCCCCTGGGCCCAGAGAACTACAAGGAGATGTACCTCTTCATCTACAGGTAACAGGGCTCCCGGAGAGCCGGCTCGGCAGCTGCCAGCCCGGAGCCGGTGTTAATGGGAGCAACGCTGCTGACAGTGGGGGAGCAGAGCTGCGAGGGGAGCCCCGGGCTGGGCTAGCGGGGGGCTGGTAGGGAGGACTGAGGGGTGCTGGTGGGGAGCCCTAGGTTGGGCTATCAGGGGGCTGGTGAAGAGGACTGAGGGGTGCTGGTGGGGAGCCCTAGGTTGGGCTATCAGGGGGCTGGTCGGGAGGACTGAGGGGTGCTGGCAGTAGGGTTGCCAGGTGTCTGGTATTCACACGGACAGTCTGGTATTTTCACCTTCTGTCTGGTAAAAAAATTCAGAAAATACCAGACACCTAAGATGTCCAGTATTTTCTGATTTTTCCCTGGCCAGGAGGCAAAAATGCCGGGCACCTTGCAACCCTACAAACACTCAGCGCCTGGCTTCCCCTGGCCCCCAACCCCAGGCCCCATGCTTACCTGGTTCCGCAAAGCTGCTGGCATAAAATGGCAGCCGGCAAAAAGACCAAGGGGAAGCAATGACTCCCCTGGGTCTTAGTGCTCAACGACTCTCCTTGCCTATCCCTGCACTCACTCTTAAAGGGGACATGCTGTTTTAATGCTGTTTTATTTTAATATATATATATTTTGCTTAATAAGTCTTGGAGTCCTTTTTTTTTTTTTGCTCAACAACTTTGGTCTCCCCCTTTTTTTTCTTCAACAATTTTTTCCCGGTGTTTTTTTTGGGGGAGGGGGAGGGAAGGATGTTCAGTATTTTTGTTTCAACCATCTGGCAACCCTAGCTGGCAGGGGGGGTGTGGCGGGAGCCAGGGGGCTGGAGTCAGGACTGAGGGGTAGTGGGGAGCCCCTACAAGCCAAACCCTCTGACACAAATAGTTGGAGCCCCCTTCCCACCCTCTTCATCTTCCCCTCCCCGTTTCCATGCAGGACGCAGTCGGTGTCTGTAGTGGCTACGTACCAGTACCCAGACCTAAGCAACAGCTTCAGTCGGGAGCCATTCATCGTGAAGTTCTCGTCCCCCAACTCAAGTAAGCTGAGCCTGCTGGCAGGGGCGACCCAGCTCTGCCCAGCCCCACGCAGGGCCCGTCCCCCAGTTTGTACCATTAGCCAGGCTGACAGGCCGCCTCCTTGAGGGGAGCCATGCACTGGCTCAGGCATGGAGCTGAGGGGGTGGCAGATGAATGACCCCAGGACAGGTGCATTGTCATGGCCTCCCGCAGGGAGGGCCCCAGGGCCCCTGCTCCAGGCTCAAGCCCTGCTGCCGGAGGCCAGGGAGACTCTTCCAGGGCTGGGAAATGTGCCGGGGGGTCCACTCCCCCAGCCACGGGTACAGAGAGGACTGGACCTTGCAGTCACGTTCTGCTGCGATTTGGCATATTTGCAGAGCGAGAGGCACTGGGGGACATCGTGAAATGCCTGGACCTCAGCTCCGGCTCTCGCCCTGGGGCGGGGAGCTCTCTGGCCGCGTTAGCCAATAGGGGACAGGGCACTTGCTGGTGTAGACGAAGGGAGAAAGCCGGGAGTGTCCCCACTAGGCCAGGACACCCTGGGGGAGCGCTGTTGGGGGCGTTACTGGAGCTGGTGCACAAACCTTATGGCACAGGATAGCACGTGTTCATATGTACACGTATGATGGCTCTGTGTGTGTGAGTGTATATTATGATGCTGGGCGTGTGTTCACATGCATGTGCACGATGGCTGTGTGTGTGTGATGGCTCTGGGTGTGCATGTGTGAAATCTCGGTGTGTGTGTGTGTGTGTGTGATGGCTCTGTGTGTGCATGTGTGAAATGTCGGTGTGTGCGCGCGATGGCTCTGTGTGCATGCATGCAATGGGTGGGGATGTGTCAGTGAGCTGTCTCTGTGTATGTGTGCAATGACTTTTTGTGTGCATGCGTGCGTGCGATGGTCAGGGATGTGTCCATGAGTGAGCTCTGCGTGTGTGCGTGATGGCTCTCTGTGTGCACACGTGCGATGGCCGGGGACGTGCCCATGTCAAGTGAGCTAACTCTCCATGAGCGTGCGATGGCTCTCTGTGTGCACGCGTGCGATGGCCGGGGACGTGTCCATGTCAGTGAGCTAGCTCTTCATGTGTGTGCGATGGCTGAGGAAGTGTCGGTTTCAGTGAGCTAGCTCTGTATGTGTGCGATATGGCACTGTGTGCACGCGTGCTATGGCCGGGTATGAGTCCGTGAGTGAGCTGGCTCTGTATGAGCATGATGGCTCTCTGTGTGCACGCATGCGTGCGATGGCTGGGGACGTGTCCGTGGGATGACCCTACCTGATGTCTCCGGCAGAGGTGCGGGAGTTCGTGCTGGTTCCCCTGCACACGCCCCCCAAAGAGGCTGTGGCCGAGATCGACGCCCTCTACGATGTCTACCTGGACGTCATCAACAAGTGGGGGACTGACGTAAGCCGCTGCATCCGGTGCAAATCCACCACCGTGTGAACGTACAAGGGGGCTTTAGATCCACAGCTAATGAGGCCAGAAGTGCTGTTCCGAACTTCTCATCTGAGGTCCTGCATCGCCCAGGGCAGAGAACCCAGCCCCAGGGTCCTGGGCCAAGCCTGGCGCTCCCTCTCCCCCTTGCCTAGAGCTAGGCTGGAACCCCCAGAGTCCCATCAGCTGCTGCCTCTGGGCCACCACGCTGGCAAGGAACGAGCCCGCCGTGCTCAAGCGAGATCTGGTTCCCAGAGGAGCTGGCCCTCATGCCGCATGGCCTGACAGCGGCAGGGTGACTCGCCCCCCATGGAAACAGCCTCCTCGTGTCCGGCTCCATGGCGGATAAATGCCAGAAAATGCACCCGTCTCTCTGAGGCAGACCACGGCCGTTCCCATCTCCAGCAGGCCTGGTTCCGTGGGGCACGGACCGGGCCGTTTACATACAGACTCTAAGGGCCCCGGGATCCCGCCTGGAGAGCCTGTCAATGGCCGAGCTCTGGGCTTAGGGCCTGGCCTGTATCGGCAGCCCCTCTCTGAATCAACATTTTCCTCAGGGGAAGTCTTTGTGGGAAAAACATGGGCTCTCCTGCAGGAAAATAGAGAGGGACTGGCTGATACAGGATCCCGCTGGCCCGAAATGCAGGGGTCTGAGCTGTTGAACGGCATCAACACGTTTCAGTTTGAGGTTTGGCATGGAGCTGCATCTGCAGGCTCTGCTGCAGTGCCTCATGGGAGTGGTAGTTCCGGTACCTCATTACCAATTCTCCCCGAGGGGATCTCCAGATGGACTACATCTCCCATGATACACCACAGCCTCCCCTCTGGCCAAACCATGATGTGATGGCTGGGGGGGTTTGGGAGGGGGGAAAAAGCACCTGAACTACAGCTCCCATGAGGCACTGTGGCAGCCTTTTAAAATCTGCCTCCCCTCCCCCAAAATGGACTTTTCCAAATCAAAACTTTCCATTCCAGGTAAAACTTTGACATTTTGACTTTTCATCCCAATTCGAGACAAAATCAATGGGATTTCGGCCCTTCCCTGGGTAGGGTTGCCAGGTGTCCGGTTTTTGCCCGGACTGTCCATTATTCGGGTTCCCTGTCCAGTAAAAAAACAGAAAATACTGGTCGTGTGAAATGTCTGGTATGTCCTGTTCCCCTAGGATGGAAGCCCGGCGGGGACAATTTTCCCCTGCCGTGTCTGGCGGGGGCGTGATGAGCGTGGGGCCATTTAAAGGAGCAGTGCCCCCTTTCTTTTTTCTCAGCAACTTTGGTCTTCCGCCCCCTTTTTTTTCGCTCAACAGAATTTTTTCCCAGTGGTTTTTTTTTTGGGGGGGGGGGGGCAGAGGGGTGTTCAGTATCGTTTGTTAAACCATCTGGCCACCCAATCGCTGGGAGGGAAGTTCTGCCTTTCACCGAGCCCTCGTGGTGCAGACCAGAGGGCCCAGCACCCAGGCCCCGACACTGAAAGCGTAAGGGAGCTCGGCCCAGCTCTCAGCCCTGTCCCAGTGTCTGCCGGCACCCAACACCCAGCCCACTCAGGCTGTCCTTCCACAGAACATCATATTCCTGGGAGACTTCAACGCCGACTGCTCCTACGTCAGGAAAGGGGACTGGGAGTCTATCCGCCTGCGCACCAGCGAGGTGTTTGAGTGGCTCATCCCCGACACCATGGACACCACGGTCGGGAAGTCGGACTGCGCCTACGACAGGTGAGACGCCGCCTTTCCGCGCAGCCCGGGGGCCTTAACGTTCCTCCCGCCTGGCTCCCAGCACGGAGACGCCATCTAAAACCCCTTTGTGGCCTACAAATAAAAGCTCATATTTTACTATCAGGAGGAGTCTCTCTCCCCAACAGCAGCCACAGAACTGGGGCTCGGCAGGACAGGCCATCTCTCCCCACTCACAGCCCTGGAGATGGGGGGAGTCACCTCTTTCTCTGGCTGCCGCAGCCCTGCACTTCCCAAATCCCCCCTTCTTGCCCCCACTGCCCTCCCACCTCCCCCTATTTCCCCCACCTCACCTCACAGCCCCCTTCCATCCTCCCCTTTTTCCCCCAGGCCACCCCCTCTCCTTACATGTGAGGGTCCAGAAACTTAACTAGTGGAGCCACATCTGGGAGCCACTAATTACGTGGGCAGCTCTGCCTGCTCCATGGACCACCTGACTGGAGCTTGCAGACCACTGGTGGTCCACAGGCCACGGTCTGAGCACCTCTGACCTAGCAGCTCCGCAGAGAGGACTCAGCCTTTGCTGGCTGCCCCTGCCTGCGTTCCCTCCCGTGGCCGAGCCAGGAGAGCTCAGCGGGAGCCTGGGGAGGGGGCTTCTCGGCATAGGTCTTAGCTCCAGCCTCTCACCAGAGAGCCGCTCTCGGAGGCGGGCCAGAGCAGGCGGCACGTGGGGCCAGGAAGAAGAGCGGAGGATAGCCTGGCACCGCGCTGTGTCTCCGCCCTGCCGACGCCATCCCCAGCTCCCTGGAGTCGGGGCTGTTCCTCGCTGTGTCTGACTGTGAAACGAGAGCCCCTGGGAAGCGCAGGGCCTTGACCCGAGGGGGGGTTGTTGTGTTGCAGGATTGTGGTGTGTGGCCCTAAGCTGAAGAAAAGCATCGTGCCCAAGTCGGCCGCTGTCTACAATTTCCAACGCGTTTTCAAGCTGGATGAAGACGAGGTCGGTTGGCCTGGCCCCCAAGAGCAAATATTTAATTCCTTTAGACAGCGGAGCTCTTCCTTCCGCTGACGCTCCCTCCCCGGGGGACAGGCATTCTAGGGGGACCCGGCCTCTGGCAGAGCTGTTACACTGTGTCCCCACTTGCTGTTCCCATGCAGGCCCTGGTCGGGGCTTCATCACGGGGAGTTTCAGATGCCTGCAGGTCACCAATGACCTCTGTCCACCCCAGCTCCCCGCCTGTTCTCTGTGTGTGACACAC